AAGCTGAGCTCAACTCAATTCATAACATGTCTCAAAATAAGCCCAAGATGTCCACGATCAACCTGGGACGAGTCAAACCGAGCCCATGAGCTGCTCGTTTTGCCACCCTTACATAATGTACAGAGGTCCATGGTCCAGTGTAAGAATACTAGAAAAATATAAACGCCCGAACCCTTCAAATAATCAGTAATGTGTTGAGCTAATCATCTAGAAAAATTTGATAATACCCTCACATTACTTTTCGCTAAGTTGGTCCATTGAGTACCCAGCATATATTTCAAATGACACACTTCAATGACATCATTGCTCGTAAACTGCATGCACAGAAATACTTGTTTGTGCATTTAAAAAGTTCCTGAATATCTCAGTTTTCTCCCAATTCACAATCTACTCCCTACCTACGCTGGTTACACATTGCCACAACTGTCCTCCTTTGTCCCCTTAAAGATTGAATGAACAGGAAAATTATGCATATTCATACATACCAGAGCAATTTACTAAGAGTAATCCTGACAATGTACAGGGACCTATCGTTTTTCAGAGAAATCTGGTAGGAATATACTCGCTTAGTCTCAGAGGATAACCGTAGAACTCATCATTTCTACTGTCTCCCTTCCTGCGTTGGAAGGGTATCAACCATGGAAGTCCTCTCTCCTCAACTGAATGCCTGGCTTCAAGCGTGTTGTCTATAAGTGTTCCGACTATGAGAGCCACAGTAGGCGGTGAAGAGAATATTGTATTCAGTATGTCGTCGAACTGCAAGGAACAAACAAGGATGTAATCATTGTCATTGAAATATGAAGTATATATAAAGATTTCATTTGTTTTGACAGGTCTTACCCAGCCTCCATTTGTTTTGACAGGTCCATGCCCAGAGGCATCTGTGTTCATAACAAAATATTGGGATATCGACATACCCAAGAACAGAGAGAGCCCCAATTTGTAGATGTTTCTCATTGAATTGTTGTTTGCAAATTGCATAAATGAAATCCCAGTAGCAGCTGCAGGAAAAATAATAATTATAGCTCTCTGTCAAGATGGGAACCAATGTATAAAATGTAGCTGAGAATATCACTCACCAACAATACCATACAAGACACAGTATATTGCAGCAAATATTGGAACCGGAATTGACGCAAAGAAGGCCCCGAATTTTCCTGCAATACAATAATGTTAAATAGAGCAATACCAGAAAACAGTGTCCACTCCCCCATGTCTCCTCTCACTCCATACCAAAACCCTCCAATTCTTTCTTTCTATTTTCATTCTCCCTTTTCCTGATCGACCTAGAAAGACAGGAAAAAAGATAAATAATAAAGACGAGGGGATATAACAGACCAAATATTGAAAAGAAGAACATGAAAGCAGTGGAGATCTGCACTGCTCTTCTGCTTCCAACACGAGTTAGTCCGAGAAGTCCAACATTTTCACTGCATTTTTCCCCAGATAAATAAATGAAGAGCCAGAAGAATGATAAATCAAGGAAAGCAATTATTAATATAATTCGTAAGGAGTTAGAAGTTAGAAGTAGTTATATAACTATGCTCTGCTACTCAACCAAATGGGACTAAGAATGATATATAATCCAGACCATAGTTCCTCTTTTTAAAATTAATTTTTACGATAAGTAAAATTAGGGGTTCAATTTCATAAAAATTAAAAGGTACTATGAACGCCACACAAGCTCACACAACATGACGACCAATAATAAAAGCAACACACAAAAACAAAGATTATATATTAAATGAACAAAACACATACTAAAATGTAAAATTCATTGAACTTATAGAGCTTGTTTGGTAGGGATTTTTGGGGGAAGAATTGATTTTNGTTTGGGAAAGATTTTTAGGGAAAGAATTGATTTTGAATAGTGATATGATGGGAAATGTGTGGTTGAAAAAGAAGAAAAAATTATTGATGTGATGGAAAATATTATTTTATTGAAGAATGTGTGGTTTAAAATGAGAATTGATTTACTGTAGAATTTGAAAATAAAAAACAAACACCCCCATAATAAAATATCAGCTGCTTACACAGCAGCAGTAGTCCCAACAACAGCACCAAATATCCCTTCAAGCAGCTGGCCCACACCCTGAGAACAACCGAAATACAACGGTATATTGTAAAATACTCATATAATTTATTTCAGAAGAAATTCACTGTTATACACTGATAGTGATTGAACGGACCTGCAGACCAATGCTCCGGCTTAGCACATGTCCTGGAGGTGCAGTAGCACCAGCAAGGCGTGATGCAGCATAAAATGTTCCAGTGGACTGCAATATGAACTTGTTAGCAATGAAAAACAATGCCAAAAAGCCTTTTTTTAAGTGACTGAACCAGATTTAAAATTATTAGGTATAGTATACATAACGATGGTTTTGTTTAATTCATTCTTTTAAGGATCATAATTGTTAAGCTTAATGATTGAATAAAACATTTAAACAGAAAAAAAAAAATAGAATGTAGTCTGTTGCTTGAGTTAGCAAAGGGCAAACATACTTCAGCTGAAGAAACAAGTGCAGCACCCATCATCCCAAATACATGACTTGCTCTGAATATAGGGGTGCCCCACTGGAAAGGATATGGAATCTTGATCCTATAATGAAGAAACATCAAGGCAAGAAGTAAGAAAAAGTAGGTATCCACAAGGCACAGAGCTAAATGAGGACATACGATGCAGCGGAAGGCACAAAAGAAGAATCTATCACAATTGTGAAAATCTCAAAGTTCTTCAATAACCACCAGAAAAGCAATTGAAATCATAGTAGGTTTTTTTAAACAAGAAAGCCTTGAGTAAAAAAACTAAACAACACATAACTTAATATTTAAACGCATCCTACTTAATAAAATAAACATAAATAACAAAAGGGCCAAAAGGGCACCCCCAATTTGCGTATCCTGTTTGCATCACATACCATGGAGCAGATGACATGAGAAAGGAATGGTCTGTACGACAGCTTGATTTGGTCGATTCTCGCACGTTGTTGTAAGCACCAGCAACTGTAAGTATTGCAGCAAAAGACCAGGCAATTCCAACGCAGACAAGCAAAGCAAACCTCTCAAGCAAGGGTCCGGCAGCTCGATGGATGTGTTGCAAGTACTGCAGACAACGCTGTTACAATTTTCCTGAGAAGAGACTAGCAACACAAGTAGGTAAGAAAATGTGGCTTACTTGTTGCCCGATAACTAGCAGAATCAACATGGGTAGGCCAATCTCCACACAATTTCCAAGCTGTAGAGAACATAGGGGCCGATATGAACTTATACAAACCATCAATTTCAAATAGCATCAAACCTTATAAGAAAGAATACCTGTGGGAAGCCCCTAACAAACAAACCAAGACCTACTAGACAGACTACTGGAACTATAACGATCGGGCTGAAGAACCTGCAAGGAAGATCAAATCAAATAAAGGGGAACCAAAACAAGAATAAGGATTGCCGAAAAAAACAAAGAACCTAAGGTTTTCTACAAGCTCAGAGAGAAATTAGATAGTTACATAGAAATTTATTTACCGTGTAAGATTTCCCCACGCATTGCTATATCCAATTACAATGTTGATAAGTGAGGATACTATTAACGATCCTTGAATAGCTCTCATAGTGTGAGTGAACCTCTACAAGGACCAGACTAGAAGCAATTATTAAAAAGGATATTGAAGGTTAAAAGAAAAGGGAGCACATTAAATGAACTACTTAAGCTTTATGCAGTTAAAAGATCCACACAACATGCCCTTAGTCACATAAAACGCGATTGCAGTTCACAAGGGGAAAATACAACTACCAATATATACTGATTAAGTACACAGAAAAAGATTGGTAGCAAGGTAAACAACATCAAGTAAGAAAGATGATACTGAGGATTGACAGAGCAGGGGTAGAATGAGGTAGAGCGGATTTGTGTAGTCGGGGTTTGGACATGTTTGATGATAAGTTAAGCTAAGAACAGTGAGGATGACTAACCAAAATTAGTAGAAACTAGGGGTTGATTAATTGTGGAGGAGACAAGGTAACTGTATGGCAGATCAACGACGGTAGCTTTGAAAGAAAAAAATACGTAGATCTAAAGGCCTTACGAGGACAAGAATGTAAATAACATAAATCACTTGAACTTTTTATAGGATATAATAAACATAGCATGTGAAAAAATATCAATCCGAACTGGAAGAAGAAAATTTGAAGATTTTGATGAGGCAGATCGTGACGCGAAGCATAGTCAGGCTCATGAGATGTAAAACTCGTTTCTTTTACTATTTTTCTCCTAATTTTTTGGACTATTCAAATTCTACATTGCCATCTCGTTTGCTGGAGGTGAGAAAGAAGGGGATAAGATTCAAGTTGAATCATTCAAGGCAATTTCTGGAGTAGAACTTATTTATTACAATTAATGCACGGATGACTAAGAATAACAAAAGGTTGCAAAGTAATAGGAAAAAAGACGAAGATTCTTTCAGATCCTTACTCATAGTTATTAACTGTGCAAGGTAAAAGTCGTAAATCAAACATTGAGGAAAAGGGAAACAAACTCGAATAATGAGAAAAGGAAAGGTGATGTCTGTCATTCTTTAGATGTGCATCCATCAAATATATCAAAGCTGGTGTAATCATGTAAACTTACTAAACTGAATGTCAAACCACCAAATCTTACCTCATGTTCATTTGCAAATGTACTATCAGAAAAATCATTGATAATTGCCAATACTGATATAACATACGCAAATGATGGACCCATCACTGTTGGAAGTCGACTCCCAAACCATGTTTGCAAAAGGGTATTAATTCCCGACATAAAGAGCAACGCCTGAATCACTCTAGCTTTATCGCCCTGCTTGCGAGATTTATAGGAAGTCACTTATATTTTCATGTCATAATAAGAATTAAGAAGTGTAAGGAGGTTGAAGGACTTACAGGACTGCCACCCATCCGAGGCACAAGGGCAGTAGCAATCATCACAGTTGTTCCAAGCATAACAATGTAATGTTGGAAACCTAACACAGCAGTTTGTACTGCATATGTAAATTTACTTAATAATTAGCAGCAAGTAGAAGGATTTACAACAAACATAACTTAGCTCTAGATGCAAACATATCCAAAGATTTGTCTTCAAAAAAGAAATGGAATTTTAAAATCCAACAAAGCCTGATTGACATTTAATTATTGTATTGAGTATAATAATTCTCACTTTGATAGACAGAGCCTCATTTTGTCGGGAGAATCTAAAATATTCGACTAACTACGGAAAGTGAATAGATCAAAATTCCCAGTTTGAAAGATCCTAACAAAAGTTGCAATCTTTATATATTATGGCCACTCCAAAAGTTTATGACTGAAAAAGACCAGACTTTTTCAAATTTAAACAAGACATTTAATTTTTCTCTTTCTTTCCCAGATTAAAAATAAAAAATAAAAACTATTCTTCAGCCCTCACCTTTTTCACCAATATTTTATATCTCAAAGCATAACTAAATACAAGAGAGAAATGAGAGAGTACTGACACCAGGAAGGATTTGAATGGATGCAGTAGTGAAGCTGGAGGAGCTGTTCTGCCGGAGGATAAACAGGGCCTCTTGCAGAACCAAGAGGAGGTCGTACTACTGGCGGCGGAGGCACCTGATTCGGCGGCTGTCCGTGGTTGTGATTGGCTGTTTCCACCATTTTTTGTCCTTGTTTTACTCTTCTAGTATAGAGATTTTTTTTTGGGTTTGTGAGAATTTTCTCTTTTCTTCAATATTAGTTTTTTCTTTTCTTTTTGGCAAGATTCAAGAATCAAAGAACAAAACACCGACACCCTGAATGAAAAATGGAAAAATCTAACAGTTTTTCTCGGGAAATTTCGTATGCAGCTCTGATGGAGTAACTTGATTTCCTTGTAAAGTGACTTTCCTTATTTTAATAACGAGTATTCAAGAAAATTTTTAAATATACAGATCAGATCACTGTAACATGCCATTAAAGCGAATATATTATACTTCCTAAATTGAAGAGAGAGGTGAAAGGAAATAATTAATATCCACTAGGTACGTTTTGGCTTAAAGAAGATAGGGAGGAAAGAGGGAGTGGGGGCGGGTTGGGGGGCGTGGGGTGGAAGAAGGGAATGGGAAATTGGATTGCATTAAGGTTTGTCAGTTCCAAGGAACATAGTGCATGATGGCCGCGTGGGACCACGAACTTCGAGGTTAAAGTTGACGGAAAAGCCCCTTGGACTTGTCCTTGTCACTGTCTCGCCATAGCTGACGCTCTGGTCTGTATTTTATTTTCCTTTTTTTGGTGAATTTATTTTTATGGACTTTTTAATTTTTTTAGCCCCTCTTTGTAAAAATTAAAATCTAAATTTTAATATAAATCAAAATCAACAATTAATTTTAATCACATATTTTATGAATCTTACAACTTTTAAACCACACATTTCATCAAAATTTTCTAAAAATCTAATTTTAATTCTCATCAAACAAGAATTAATATGTACTTTTTTGTTTTTTGAATCTATTTGTAATGATAAATCCAATTAAGGGCATTATGTAGATCTAATTGGTCGTCGGTTCCACACGAGTTAGTTGCGATCAGCTCGTCTTAGGCTCGCATTTTAGCTAAAAAGTGCAATTTTCGACTTTCAAAAAAATGACTCGCAAGTGAGCCATGAGCCGACTCAAATCACCCCACAAAGGGTTGAGCTCGTGGGGTAAGTCGAACTCAACTTTTTTGAGGCGAGCTAGCTCGCACTAGGCTTGTCCCGCTCATAATTTTGAACATGTTGCCCAACTAATTTTATATCTACTAGTGTAATTGTTTTAGTTGTTAATGCTGAATTTAATGTTCTCGTTACATTCATATCAACATACTTTAGTTAGGTTGGCCATCAAATGAAATCACACCAAATCCTCAAAATAGTATTGTATTCGTGGTAATTAGGTAGATAAAATAGCAATAACCTGTATTAGAATTTTTGAAATGTCGATGAGCTTATGAAGGTGATTAAGTTAATCTATAATATATTAAGGATAATTCTACTTGTACATTATGCCATCCATACCATAATGTACAAGTAGTACAACCCATATATTAAATATCACATTTTCATATTTTGAACGAATATGACCATACAACAATTCAATTATTTCAACAATATCTCACTTTTCATTTTTCAGTATGTTTTTAATTTACAAATTGTAATAAATGCTATAATTGATTCTCAATTAATTAATATTCAAGTTCATTTAGGCTATGTTTGATTGTGCAAAATTTTTCATGAAAAATGGAAAACTAATTCCAACTTCCACTTTTACAATGTTTGATAGCAATAATTTTCCTTGAAAATAGTTTTCTTGGTTTCCCTCACACGAGTGCAATTTCCATGGTTTTGTTGAAAATGAATTTACACCACTTTGGTGGGAAAAGAAATTTACTGGTTACCTTTTTTTTTTGGACAATTGGAAAAAATTCTAGACACAATGGTTAAAAAATTTATCACTTTTATTGATAATTTTCATGCAAAATAAAGTCAAACGAATGGTATTCGATATGTCTTTTTTTTTTTTTTTTTTTTTTTTTTT